AACACTTTCAAGAACACACAAAAAATAAAGGCACTGACACAAGACATTAAAATAAATTCAAAACTATTGTATGTTATTGTACAAAGCACTAACAAGTTCTTCGTCATTTATAGAACTCTAAGTATACCTCAACTTTTCCCAGCTTCAGTTTAATAAGAAATGATAAAGCCTTGCATCTTTATTCCAAATGTTGTGCTTTGGTTGGGACTAAAAACACCTCTAGTGTTTAACCAAATCCAAATACTTCTTGAAAACTTGCTAACAAGTCCACTTGTACCTAACTGGCTATTGAACATACATCTCAATACTTGGCCATGCCAACCAAGCTAAGATTTACACTTATATTGTTACTGAGACCACTCTCATCTTGTTGCACACACATTAAGAATGTCGTACATCTCCTGGTTTTCCACAAAATTGCATTACTTTTAAACATTTTCTCAGTTTATTGCTGCAAATCCACATAAGAAATGATTGGAAACCCTGTAGGCCAATAAAACCTTTATATTTCAACATGATATTCAGCCTGTAAGATTTCTTGTATGATAATATATATCCACATTTAAAGAAATAATTAAATAGTTTATTTGTAGACAAGGGTGCCATCACTCATCTCAGAATATGATGCTTACAAGTGAATTCTTGAACCAGTTTTTTAAGAATTTTATTCATTTTAGATCTGAAAGCATATCTAATAAGAATATGAAGAGACAAAGTAATATTAATAACATACATTACAATACTGTATTTACAGTCTTAATTGTCTATTAACTCTTTCAGCACAGGCTCAGTACCTGGAACTGACCTCGTAACCATTTTGTGCTTATTATAGTTTTCTTGCTATAACTTTTAAATTAGTAAGCACATGTTCACAAAATTTGGCAGATTATCAGTAAACATTACAAGGCTTTCATACACAAAATATCAGCTTTTTTTTATTAAGTCTTAAGGTTTGTTAAGCAGTGTTTTTGTCGTGCCTTCTTTCTTTTCACATGTTGCCTATCCAACATGCAAAGTAATTTTCATTTTAAGATTAAAAATACTTTTATGTGTCAGAAAATTTTCAAGTTTCCCATGCAAAATCTTTATAATGTCCAGATAGTTATCAAACGTTTCTTAAGAAAACACTATATTTTATCTGTTATTTTCATTAACGAATCTCTGTACGGGTTTGGTCCACTTGACCAATCTCATAACCACCATAAAAAATTAGGAAATAAATATAAATTGCCTGTTTCATTCTAGAATGACTACAGATTATAACATGAAAACAATAGTGTTTAGCCTAATAGCTTAAATGTCATAACATTATACATTTATATACATTTATTATTCTTATTACATTGACCTTTTAGCCATGCCTGGCTAACATTAACAATACAGAAGTTATAATGATGTGTAACCACCATAAAAAAGTTAAGACTAAATAGCTTATAATATACAAGTTTTATAATATAAAACTTAACTTTAGTCTTCACAAAGTGACCTATCTCGGTTGTGTTTTAGTTGACTAGTATTTTGTAAAATACAGTCACATTTCAAATATTATACATAATATATGTATATACATTATTACTATTTACAAACAAGTTCTTAAACTTATATTTCTTAAAACACAGAACAGTAAATAAAGTTAAGCAAACAAGTATTTATTCTAGTTATGACCTTTGTACTCGTTTGCTGCTTGCTGTAGGTTGCTAAGCCTTATAGAATTTCACATATGGAAGTTGTGAAATGAAATAATTTTTTTAAGTTTTATATATACATTTGAAATAACCAAAAACTCATAGCTTACTATATCAATACCATAGAATTCCAATATAATTTATCAAGCTTAATAATTAAGCTGTATTTGGGTCTAAAAAAATATGGAATTTCGAGCAAACTAAAGACTCACCTTACCACTTGAAGATTTGTATCAAAAGAATGAGGTGACATCGCAATACTTGAAAATGGCTGATAAAGTCACTAGGGGGACATTCTGAGCTCTTGATTAGTTATTCACACGTCATAGACAAAAGTAAGTGTATATAAGGGGCTGATTCCAAAAATGGAAAGAGGAGAGCAGGGCCACTGAGTTTGATTCAGTACATGAGTGATATCTCAGCGAATAGAAAAGATAGAAGGTTCTTATTTTATATTCTAGATTGGGTAATTTGGGTTCCTAATTCATATAAAACTATAGACTTTGTATTTTGACATCACAAACATCTAATTTGAACCAGTGCTGCATTCATCATACCACACGACAAACAAAAATCGATGTTTAGGTGTGTTTTTATAATATTTACATTTAAATTAATAATTAAATAATGTATAATACTAAAATTTTAATTATAATCTACAGTTTGATACCAAACTTATTGACATAAATTAATAAAATAGTAGTTGAATAAAACTTTGAATGCAAGTCAACAAATGCAATGACATGGCCTTTGACCCACAACCTGTGTGGAAAGGGTTAAAAGCAGAAGATTGTCCCAAAATATTTACTAACGGGTTCCAAATTATAAGACCTACATTGATCATTGCATGAATAATGGGTGACCTAATTAAACAGAAGCTGACAGGGTATCTTTGATGGGAAATATTTTAACTTTCCATGCACAGCAGTTAGGTTTATGACACTCACTCTATTACGTTCTTGTCATATGGACTTGCATTTCTCTCTTTTTATATTACCAAATTTGAGACAATAATTGACGAAGAACTCAGGATAGAAAAGTAATTTTTTATTATGTGTTTACACTGAAAACAGAATTAAGAAAATTCTGAAACATGTTCTTCATCTTGTCGACAATTTTATGATTTTTAGGTTTATGGCAAATATGCCTTGAGCTTTTCTTTGATAGATTGTATAGGCAGAGTGTTCATGTTGTAAATTGCCTGTTATAAAAAGCACAAGTGTAGAGGAAGACATTTCCAAAGTCTTCCGTCTTCAGCTTATGTTATGCTAACAACATGTGCCACCTGTTTGCTTACAGATGAAGGTATATAGTTCATAGCCTGTTACTGATCAGTGTTGTCAAATCAATATATTTTCCATTTTAATGAGTCACATTTCCTAAAGTCATTTCTTGTGAAACTGACTTAAACATAATAACACAACTTGTTGATAATAAAAATAGTGGATGTAGGAATGAAAAGGTTAGACTTTTGAAGGACTTTTATAGAACCTCCTGAGAAAATTATTTATTTTCCAGGATTTACATGACTGAAACTTGTTTTACAAAATTCTATGACTTTCCAAGGTTTCATGACCTGTGCAAACCCAGATTACAGACTGGCAATCACACAACACCTTGCATACAATAAGTATTATAATAACTGGCCATGCAAGCTACATTATGGTGTGGAGTGCTTTTTTAAAGCAATACTTAAAAAAATGTGTTTTCAAAGAAAGTGTTGGTTAGTTGGTTTATAATGGTATAAATATCTAGATCATTATATGCGAGTGTGTTGTGTATAAACAGGACATTGAACAGTTATACTACAACAGTGGTTCCCAACCAGTGGGCCGCGGACCGGTGCCGGTCCGTAGACCAATTGGTACTGGGCC